TTTTTCCTTTAGATAAAATTTGTGAACAGTTTATTATAACCTAGGGTCATAATTTAATTTTGCTTAATTGATGCATATTGCACTGTAAAATAGTTCCAAGTATTACCAATAAATAAATTATGTTAATCAATTTTTAATTCATGTTAATACCAGATAAATGTTAACTTTGGTACAACTAATGTTGATATTGGCAAAATTGGTCTTAAATTTCACTTACGTTAGAAATGCTAATGGTATTTACATATGGTATAAATTTAGGTGGAAGTTTATTTTCCATCTCGAAAGAAGAATAAAGAGCATTTAATTCAAATTATCTGCAAGACTAGTGTTAGATATATTTCATAAAATTTTGGATAAATTAGAATTAGAGCAAAATTTCACTGCTTTCATGAAAACTTGCAGATTTCCACTTATCAGAATCAAGCTTTTGACTTAATTTTTTTTAAACATATTAGTTTCACAATAGAGGTAATTGATTTTCCATTTTTCAATACACAACCTGTTTGGAGAAATCAAATTTGCTTCATTTGTTTTGTGAGCTGTGACTGTGTTTTTTGATTGAAATAAATTAAGAAACCGCCAATTTCCTTTATATGGTATTCATATATTTTTCTGTTGCAATTCATGAAATCATTCAATACAACTAATAAGAAATATTCATGTTAAATTGTGCCTACATTTTCTACTTTCTCTTAAACTTATCAATTTTACATCGCTATTTTTGTATTCAGCAAACTTATTTATGAAGCTACTGTTTTATGAAGTCATATATATAATCTGTTAATCGATATAATATTTTATTGCTTTTATTATACAAGGTGTGGCTATAAGTTTCCACGATTGCTCTAATAATACCAGAACAGATGATGTGAAAAATGTAACCTTTTAATATGTTTCAAAGTAATCCCCATCTGCCGTAATACACTATTGTGCTCAGCTGTATATAAGTTGTGGAAACAACTTTTAAAGTCCTCTTTCTGGAAGGCTCTTCATTGTTGACGTCACGTTCTTCTTGATGTCTTTAACATCCATAAAGCGTGTTCCTTGAATTACAGTTTTGAGTTTGGGAAACAAAAAGAAGTCTGTGGGGGCCAAGTCAGGAGAGTATGGCGGATGATGCAGCTCCACGACCTCATGCTTGGCCAAACCTCTTCACTGGCAACGCAATGTGGGGGCAGGTGTTGTTATGCAATGTGAAGTCAACATTGAAGAGCCTTCCGAAAGAGGACTTTAAAAGTTGTTTCCACAACTTATGCAGCCAAGCACAGAAGTGTATTACGGAAGATGGGGATTTCTTCGAAACACATTAAAAGGTTTTGAAGTTATTAATAGCAGTCCTGGAAAATAATAGCCACATCTTGTAGTATCTTCATAAAGCTTTACAGATATTTTAATGCACTTATTTTGCTAAGATCTATTCTTTACTGCTTGTACATAAAATGCTCTAAATGTGATCCAATACTACAGCCAGGACATTATTTCTAAAATTAGAAGTACTGGACCACAACAGAAATGAAAACAAAAAATAAACAAGTAAAATAATAGATAAAGCAATAAATAATGAAAAATAAAGTTAATAATAATTAATCAAAATTAAATAAAAATTAAATAAAAAGGATTAAATGAATAAGTCAGCATAAACTCGAAAACATTAAATGAAACAATTAAAAAATAAAAGTTCATAACAAAAAGATATGATAAAGAGAATAGAAAGAAAGTTTTTTTTTTTCTCTACTTCTTATTCCCAACCCCCTTCAAATGGCCAGACACATACTTCTCACACATTTGTCGAGAATAGCTCAACCGATCAATCATACAGCCGCCTCAACACCAAGAACATAGTACAGGTATAAACCACAAGGGATGCTCCAATATCACACTCACGAGAAAGTGTAGGAACATATAAATAACCAATTCCTGCACAGGATTTAAACCCTCATCCTGCCATTAAGACTACCTGTTGCCCAGAAGGGGCGATAAAACAAAAATTAATATTTTCATTCAGAGGAACATAAAAATGCACTGATGTTTCAATGTGAAGAAAAATATTTTGCTTCGCATTGAAATACAATATACATATATATATATATGTGATGTACCAGCTTTTGTCAGGAATAAATAGATTGTTGAAGAATCATAAATGTAGTCATAGCTTAATTATCAGATGATAAGTGTAAAAAACAGGATCCATTTATTATTGGTCAGGAGAAATAGCAGTTACAAAATCAGATATCCGGAGTAAATAAAAAGAATTACTAATAACTTTTTGTATGAAGTTTACTGCATCGTGACATTTAAGAAAAAGCCCCAATATTCTTTTGCGAGTCCTTTTATAGCCTCTGAAAAGACGGAGTTTCCAAGAAATGACGTCAGCCTCGTCAGCCAATCCAGTTCGCTTGAAATATTTCCAGAACATTCTATAACTGTACGTGTAGAAAAGGCGGGAAAAACGAACTTGACTACGGGGCTGTGGATTTAATTCCACGTACTTTCAAATAAGAGAATGTCGCCATTAAAAATGAAAAGAACATACAGTTAGAATTTTAAGTGTATTCTTGACTGTGGAATTTTATTATTACACACACACATATATATATATGCATTTGAGGGGGTTTCTAATCCATTTAAACACATTTTGACCAAATTAATACAGCTCCTGCCCCCAAAAAAACTTTTTGAGCTTGCATTTTGACGAGGATTTTCTTCCTCAGGTGCTGAAGTTTTCCTATGCATTTTGCTCTTCCAGCACAAGTTCATTCCACCTCTAACACCAATACCAATTTTACTAACTGCTAAATAAAATACAGCATTAACATTTTCTCTCGACCGAATTTTCCATTAATATTGCAATTCAGGTATACAATGGAGTTTGTCCGTTTTGAAGCTTTAGATCAGGGGTGGTCAATCTTTTTATTCTTACCACCCACTTTGTATACAATAAAATTTCTATACTGGCCACCTGTTCACAGAAACTTAATATAGTACAACTACAAAGAATTTTTAAGTGGAAGTTTACTAAAAAAATCTACAATGAAATTTATGCATTTATTTTTACTATAATTTACACTATTAAACTTTTAATAGACAGAGAATTTTTAATAGATAAAAGGCTAATAAACAACACAACCCTATAAATATAAGGAAACAGGAGAGCGTTGTGCAAATGGGAATGATCAAGTAGAGAAATAATCTCTGAGGGGTGTGTGTATATATACCCATGCAGTGTTTCGATCTTTCGTGATCATTATCAGCCAAAAACCTTCAACACAAACCGTGAAGCTTAAATTCCCCACTAGTGGGCAGTAGAGACCAGGTTTACTATCCCTGTTGTAAAGTGTCCTAGTTAGAATTACCATCACTCAAAAATTGAATTTTTCATTCTTTAAAATGCACAGTAACATACAGAACTCATTAAATTCATAAGTTACAAATGAAAAATTTTTCTGGCAAAAGAAATTCTTTCTTTAACATCATAAACCATTAACTAGCCAGTTTTCTTGCATTGTGTAGTTTGAGTATGTCTTGCATTTTTATCTTTATATTTACTGAGCATGCTCACTAATTTTTATCATACTTAAGTAATTTTTATTTTTCAGAGCACAATCAGAATAGAAATACCATATATCCTTTAAAAACCCCTCTGTTTCATTTTCAGCTATGCTTCAAATTTTTAAAAGAAGATGCCTCACATAACATCACATGTTTAATACATTATCATGTAGAATTTTGAAAGAAGCCCAGAAATAAGAATAAACATATTTAAAATAAGCCAACTTTAAACTTAAGTGTGAATTTTGAAACAGAAAAGCCTCTGGTAGTGCCTAAAACATAATATAAATTGTGCTAAATTCAATACTAAACAACAATCTTTTCTTCTTGCTTGAATGTTATGTGGAAACAGCAATGCAAATAGGAAAAAGGTAGCCAAATATCTCACATGGGAGAAAAGGAGGGATAACGTTTTCCCATTGGCCTCATGAAATACATTATTTCATTAGCGATGCAAGCACATACATAGCATGCAGAGAAGACACAGTAATGCACAACTTTTCAGATTCTAAATAAAATCAATGACACAATACAAAACCATATATTTAAAGTAATTAATAAAGATTTTATTACACGAATGAGCTAAAAGATAATAATTCTTTTTACACAACTCCAAATTTATAGGCATGCCATAAGACGACATCCCTGTCCAAACCAAATTTCATGTTGAGGATTAACATTCTACAAATGTTGCTTCAATTAACTTTCTCAGAATTGCTGAAGAAAGTCTTATTGCAATATATGATCAAAGTACCCTCCTTTCTTGACACTTGTACAAGCTATCAGATGTAAAATGCATAAAGCTGGGGGGTGGAAATGCATTAATACAAACAAAAATCCCAAGTAGCACAGTAACCTACTAATATATATGTATAAACAAAGAAAATAAATATCCTAAAATAAATCAAAAAAGCGGACTGGATTAACAGTTCAAAAGCTATATCAAAAACCAAACGTAAAAGTCACAGTACCCTGCTTTGAAATAAGTAAAATGAGAAGGGCACAGCAACATTTAAATTACAACTTCGTTGAGAACCACTGTGCTAGCATGCAAACATGCCTCAAACAGTTAAAAAAAATTCTTTTTTTATTTATATCAAAACTATGTTTTTCCTTACATTTATTTCATATAGTAACCAGCCATCTGAAATAAAAACAAAATCTTTAAATTTACAACCAACATTAACAAATAATAAAGATATGGGTTTTGAATTTCCAAGTTGCCCATTTAAGGGAAGAGTTTAAATAACTACTGATATTCATTTTAACATTTTTCCAATCTACATTCTGTTTTTTGCTCTTCAAAAATTCTCTCCTTAACTGACCCACAATTATAACGATGTCTAGCTAAAAATGCTAAAACATAAGGTTTCTAGAATATTATACAATGCCTCAGGAAAACTAATAGCTCTGTATACATAAAATAAAGAAAATAATAATTTAGCACTTACTAGTCTTCTTCCACGCGATAATTCAGCTTCAATATCTTTCAAAAGAAAACCCAAAGTGCCTTCCGTTTGATTCCTTCCTCGCTGACTAAGACCACTTGAAAAAAACTAAAACATAAATGTAAAAGTTGAACTGAAAGTAATATATTTTATTCAAGGATAAGAATGAAGCAAAATATGTTACAAATATCAGTACTTACAGATTATTCCATCAACCATGAAATCGCTGCCAAGCAGCATAATTTAGCATGAATTATCAATAAGCCATGTTTTGTTTTTATGAACATGGATATAAATTAAGTGTTTTTGATGCATTTTTCCCCTTGCATTTGGGGGGGATCATTAAAATTTGGCAGCTGCCTTTCACAAAACAGCAAGCAGTGTATTATTTTCAAAGTTAAGAGGGTACTTTAGCATAATCATCTTAATAGAAGTTGCTAAATTTTTAGAATGGGCCAAGGTCTAGCAACCATATGCATGACCATTCATTCTTCCAGCAGCCATAATCATAACAATTCTTCAGTCCCACAACACTGCCATCTTTGTATGCATTCTTTTTGTTGTATTTCAAGTTTCAACGACTTTTAATAAACACATTGTGTTATTTTTTGCCTTAAGCTTACTTTTAAAATAAATATGAGCTTGTGGAAATTTGCCAGCAATGGAAGAAACTGCAGCAAAATTTCTGCAGGAATTCAGAATTTTGGTGAAACTTTTCAAAAAGGAACAACAAGGAAATATGTTTCCTAGATAGCTGCTGTTGCAAAGGATTCCAAGAAGCTGAGAGTTTTCAATTCTCTGATTTTTTTAAGCAAAAACAGATTGCTCTGCAATTTGTAAGCACAAAAAAATTAGAGAAAGATGTTAAGTATGTAAGCATTTTTTTTTTTAATATATCAAGTAATTTTTCTTTTATAATTCAAATTTGCATTTTGCATTGCTAAAGTATGTCTTCTTTTCATATGTTAATAATGTTTACCAACTTTTATAAACATCAATAATTTGGGAATCTTTCTGAAAAACAAAAAGGGCACGAAAACTGTCAATTTGTACTCGATAAGTAACTTTTAACTTTTCACCTGTAAAAAATTGCCAGATTGCGTCAAGGTGGTTGCGTTGATATGCAAGTACCACTATGAGATCTTATCTTCAATAAAAAGTGTGTATTAATAGACATACTATGTTCGGCTGAACATGGCTGATAAAATAGTAGTAGATTAGAACAGTTATTCAAAAGAAATTCTTTAACATCATTAAGTTAAAAGTTAAGCAAGTTATGTAAATTTAGCATATGCATAGTTAGTACACATAGCGTATGTGTGGATCTGTGAGGTGAGAAAGCAGCTAAAATTAAAATAGTATTTGCCCCACACTGAGATAAAAAATTTATAACTGGTCAAAAGTAACATGTTTCTGTGTTTAGTTGCAGTTTAAAATGTACACTGCTAAAAAAAAATGGGACAGTCCTATATCTCCCGATCTACTGGGCCGATTGACAAAATTCAAATTGCGTTCTTCATGTCTCGAAAGCGCGACTTAGGATATATATTAGATTTATCTATAGCACTATTCTAACATAGGTATTTTGACACAAATCGGACTTTTTCTGAAATAACATACCAATTTTTTTTACATATTTCGATTCTACGACTCAAATTACGCCTAAATATGAAATTTTGTAAAATTTGGAGCGAAATTTACGGAGAATATTCACAAATTTTATGTTGGCGAAACTTTTTTGTCAGATTGCGCCAAGAATAACTTCACTTGGCGAACTTCTTAATATATGGCAACCTAGTTTCCTTTCCCTTCATTATGCCGTGAGAGGAAAAAAAGTCACCTTCGTTCTTTTTTCCAAATAATATTCTTTATATTATATTTTTAATTATAGCTTATTATTTTAAGTATTTTTTTTCTTTTCGAATTTCATTTTAATCGTTTGAGTTGCACTTTTTTTTTTTTTTTTTTTTCCGAATAACTGTTTTAAAAATTTCTATTTACCTATTCGAACTGCGTAAATAAAGATGCAGCGTTTATTTTTTTTCAAATAGTTTTCTTTATATATAATTATTTCGTATATAATTATTTTATATATAATTCTTTATATATTATTTATATCGTCATAATTATTATTTTAGGTAATTTATAAATTTTTATACTTTTATTTTAATTGTTTGTGTTGCATTGTCTCTTCAGATAATTGTTTTAAAATTTTCTATTTATTCCTTCGAACTGAGCATTTTAAATATATTTATTAATATCAATTTTCCAGAATTTTATTTTATTTATTTGAACTGCGTTTCTTTCGGAAGAATACTTTGTAACCCAGACTACGATGCGTTTGAAAACTGCATACTATATTAAAAGAGAAAATATAGTAAAGCACAGTTTTACACGCCTTTCAAAGTTCTGTTCAGAAAAGATATATACAAATAAGAGAGATGTATAACCGACATTTTAACTTAGGATGACTTGCATACACTGCTTTAAACAGTTTTATCATTGTGCCCATTGCTTTACACAATTTTATCCTACATTTGGTTTCTTAAAATGTTATTCATATTTTAGTCAAATATTTTATTTCTGAAATCGCAAGAATCAAATATCATAAGATTGAAAAGTTTTTAAATTAAAAAAAATACAAATACTAAATTTTACGAAAAAAAATTTATGTTTCTTCTCTTTTTCTTTAAGCATTCTGAAAGTATATTAAAAAGTATCCAACTTTTCGAAACATTTTGGTATTTCTGACAATCATTTTAAATAAAGTTATCGCCTTCCATTTCATAAAGGCCCACAAACGGCCGAGCGGTAAAGTCGCTGAAAACTGGTAGTTCACTCCGGGGTTCGAACCCCAGTAAATGGGCTGGTTGCATGGGCGTTTTCGTGGATTTTCTCATGTGTACCACGTATGACAGCTGGTTTCCCTTAGAAAGTTCTTCACGAAGTATTTCTTCAGAGCCTTTATCAGTCTTTAGAGGCTAAACATTTTGAAGGTATGAGATGAAAGGAAAGACTGGTTTCATCAAAAGGTTTTGGTTTATTTAATTATGACAAAGCACACTACGGCTATCTGCCTAAGGGGACGGATGCCTTCGTGGAGGACTTTCTAAGGGAAACTGGCTCGCATACACGTTACACATGGGGAAAACCACGAAAACGCCCATGCAGCCAGTCCGTTCGCGGGATTCGAACCTCAGACCGAACTACCAGTGTTCAGCGACTTTACCGCTCGGCCGCTGTTTCATCAGGAGGGGAAAAAAAACATCTTTAGGTGACATCAACATACATCACTGGATAAACTCCTGAATCTTCAAATAATTCGACTGAGAAAATCATGGGATTCTCCATATTTGATACCATATGATGTTCTATAACGTAATTTACACAACCATATAGTCTAAAACCAGTCGCTCTTCACTTTAATCTGCAATGATATCGTTTTTGTCTTTTCTGTTAACACAAGCTCAATTGATGGTATTTGCTCGTGTATACGTCCAAGTGTTTTCTCTTTGAACACCTAAATTCTTTGAAGTATCCTGAAAGTATATTCGAAAGCGCCCAACTTTTTGAAACATCTTGGTATGTCTGACAGCCAAATTTCCCTGCAAATTTTTGCTTACTTTTCTCCCTAATTTTCTTCTTTCCTTCTACAGTTATTTTTAGTGCTCACACAAGAAAATTAAGATTTTTCGACTGCTAGACTTCCATAAATTTTGCATTCTTGTCAATTTTTTAAAATATCAATTATATGAACTGCGTTTCAGCTAAAGACAGCTTTTCATTTTCTAGTCATTTTAACTATAAATAAAGTTTAAAGCGAAGTCCAAAGGATAAATATTTTAATTAAAAGATTTTTTGCTAAATGACAAAGAAATAAAACAGTCCAGCAGGGTTTATTCTGTACCACCGAGTAACCCGATTCTTATATCGGCTGAAACAATCTAAATCATATTAAAGATCATGTTTTTTTATACAATCTATAAGAAAGAAAAATTAGCTTTTCGAGAGAAAAATTAGCTTCTTATAACATTCTTTCTAAGAGGATTAATATAAAAGATTATATTTATGTATATATTTTTAAAGGTGGGACTTGAACCAAACTGTCAATCATTTACAGCTTTAAAATCTTTAATCTTTTAAAGCTTTTTTACATGGTGGTTATAATTAAAGTTTCAATTTGAAATGGTTATAAAAGGAAAACTACCGGACCAAATGTTATCAAACCTGGGAATCGTGTAAAGGAGGTTATGAGAATTTATTTTCCGTGGGGAAAAAAAGAGTTCAAAAAATCACCACCAGGAGAAAAATGGCGCTGTATACAATATTGTTAAATGAAATAAGACACGAAAACAACTGTTTAAAATGTGTTTAATATTTTCCGAAACGTGTTACAAAGCATGTTCAATGTAGCGTCCAGCATTTTCCGAAAGCAAGTTAAATCCTGTTACTGCATTCTCAACAGCAGCTCTTAGCATATCAGAAGGAATGTTACGAATATGCCAGTGTATCACATTTTTCATTTCTGCCAAATTGTTTAGATTATCACCATAAACAGTGCTTTTGAGATAACCCCATAGCCAAAAGTCACAGAGGATGAGGTCTGGTGGGAAGAGGGGAAATGTCGGCCTATAAGACGTTCACTCGTGAAATGTTGCCTAAGTAACTGTGCGATACATGTGAGGTGGGGCCCAGCCCTGCATAAAAATCCTAGTATCTAAAATGCCACGTTAGTGCAGTCCGTGTATCACGAAACATTTTAACATTGACTCTAAGCGAGGTGCAATCACAGTGATCCAGCTGTCGACTTCTTTTCAGAGAAAAATGGTTCAGTTATGAAACCAGACGGTGTGGAATGACTGCTATGCAATCGAATGCAGTAGGAGAATGCAATGGAACTAGGTAGATAACATGAGGGATTTCTTTGGCACAAATCGATTAAAAGCGTTTTGAATCTTCATGTTTTAGGGCCGAATTCAGGCTTCAAAAATTACAAATTAGCGATCTGTAAGAAAACGATTTCCAGATTGTGCACACTTGTGCAAGTGATTTGCGATCTCACACTTTCTAATCACTAATTCGTGGTTTTCACGGACGAATTTCTCACT